GTCTTAAAAATAAATAAACGTTAAAAAAAATTTATTTTATTTTTTTTAAATTTTTTTTAACGTTTATTTATTTTTGAGACAGAGAGAGACAGAGCATGAACGGCGGAGGGTCAGAGAGAGAGGGAGACACAGAATCGGAAACAGGCTTCAGGCTCTGAGCAGTCAGCCCAGAGCCCGACGCGGGGCTCGAACTCACGGACAGTGAGATCGTGACCTGAGCCGAAGTCGGACGCTTAACCGACTGAGCCACCCAGGCGCCCCAAAAAAATTTTTTTTAAATAAATAAACCGACAAATTGAGAGTGAGGATGAAGTACAGGTTCAAATTGTTCAGGCAAATGCCAATTTCCATTTCCACGGAAGATCGAAAGCTGAGTTAGTCAGACATCACTTTGGTAACCAATTAACTGGCAGGACCGCCGACTTAACACGCTAAATGGGTCTCTCTCTCTGGAGTGTGGAAATCAATAACGGCCTGTCCTCTTCCCCGATCACGTGTGTCACAGTGGCCCTGCTTCCTTTACTATGTTCTGCATCCTCAAAGGTCAATCTGATCACACGCCTGTGGGGCCTTTGGGGGACCCCCCCCCCAAAACTTTGTGGTCTGTCAAGAAAGTCATTGCATACAGCCAAGAAACAACAACATCCCAAGGCATAAATGGGTGCTGTCTGTGTAGCTGTCAAGATAACCTGAAAAAACAGGTAGCTGATGACAGCAGAAAGCCAAGAATGCGAAAGGTAAACATCTGTGATTAAAAGGAAAAAAAAAACAGAGAATAGAAACAAAACCCTAATGTCAGCTTGCTAAGGAAAGGGGGTTCACCACAATCTATCCCTCTGTGCTCTCCTTTACCCTGAAAATGTATTTATGTCTGTCTGTCTATACATATGTATGTAAGTATGTATGTACGTACATATGTCTGTATATATTTATTTATTCATTCATTCATTCATTCATTCATTCACTGTGCTAAGCACTCAAGTGCTATCTGGTTGCACAGTAATGGATCCTAGGCTTGGCTCAGTAAAGTAAGACCCCCTCACCGCCTGCAGTTTAGATGTATTTGTGGTTGAACATCGGGACACATTTGAGGGGGACTGCCTCCTCTCTGGGTCTCCCCTCTCTGACACGCTGATAAAGACAACTGAGGCTTCAGGTCAAACCTTTCCCGTAAGCTGCCTCCGTCTCGCAAACCCACAAAGAGATCTGGAACAACCCAAAGGTGGGCACGATCCACTCATCCGTTTTGTCCCCTTTGACCTGCCACTTTGCTTTCCCTCACGTTCATTGCAGAATGAGCTCTGCTCATTTCGAACGGCAACATGGTCGTACCTGGTCTCTCAGCCTCTCTTGGTGGCCCATGATCGCAGTGGCATGATGGGGGTACTTTTGCTTCAGATGTTCCAGGAAAGCTTCTCTCTTCCTGTCCATCTCAGATGTTTGCATTCCTAGTATTTCTCTGGAACTGCGGGGTCCACCTAGAGTGTGTCTCCTTGGGATATTGCGGGAAGACTTGGAAACTGAAACGCGACTGTTCCCATTAGAAAGGCGTTCCTTGGTTCTGCGACATTCTGCATCTTCTAATGACGTGACTTGTAGATTGCTTTTTCCTTGTTCTGAAAGACAAAAAAAAAATACAGTTTGCAATGAAAGATTTTACTAGAAATGTCATTTACAGAACACTAAGAGGGTTTCTGGCTGCTGTTATTATGTAACTATAACCTAGCAGGTTATTTGTTTTTTAGGCAAGACGGGAACAAAATCAACAAAGGAAATGAGAAAAATTGCACTAACACAAAAAGTTGTAGAAAAAAAAGTGGTCGTTTCCGACTCTTTCCCTGAGATTATTCAGAAGGAGAACACTTGGTCAGACAAGTTTGCAGGCAACTGGGTTACCCCTTACCTTCAACTGTAATTATAGAAAAGTTAGTTCCAGTGATTCTGATTATTTCTTTTGTTTTAATTGCAACCTCATGCTGGTAACAGGACTTTTATAGTTTCATAATCTGACGGTGGTTTCGGAGACACTTATTTCATCCCCAAGACCAAAAATAGGCATTATAATCACAGACATATGAGCCCCCTGAAAACTCCAGCCCCCCTCCATTAGCATAAACCAAGCAAGCGTTAGAATTTTATTAGGTCGATATTACTATTAGGTAAGAATGGAGAGAATGTAAAGGCTTGGACACATCTGGCCTGAAGTGGACTTTAAAACACACAGTGTAAAGGGAAGAGATATGGTACATTTTGATGGCCTTGACCTAGACCCTTGGCCTTGACCTTGTCTCGGACATGGCCTTTCCAGGCCAAGTTGATTTCCACCTAGAAGGGAGCAAAGGAGGCAGGCGATGACAGTGGATAGGGAATCTCTGCTCATGCTCAATGGTTGGCAAGAAGGGTGTCAGGTCTGCATCTCCTAGCTGACTGAAAAAGGAGAATTACTTCTTAAAAAACAAAACTAGAAAGGGAGAGTTATGAACATTCAAAAGCACTTCAGATTCTCTTCAGCAGGAGCGGTACTTACACATCACACAGATGCAGGCAGGATAAGGTACTCCTGATCCGTGAACCCTGGGCTCTCAGGCGTCCTACCTTTAACCTCACACCCAGACCATACAATATGATCTCTAAACCTCACCATCTCCCTTCATAAAATGAGGATGGCTGGACCAGTATTAGATGTGCAGCGTCTTCTAGCTCTAAATCCTTTAAAACCCAGTCTCAATGAGTTTTTAAAGAAGTTTCCGGTAAAAGCTCATTTGCTAATTATTTACTTTTAAAAGTTCTGTGCAGAAAAAAAGATCCACTATTTGAAAGTTCTAGACTTGAGTCTCAGATAGACAAACGAAACTTCACGCCAGTGATACCCAGAGCATCCAGTTTATACACACACCAGCTCATCTAAAGGCCATGCCCCCAGTGCATTTCCCTCATTGTCTAGAAACGCCTCTGTATACAACCCCAGGTCTGACGCCCTTTGGGTAGGCATAGTGAACATTTTCAACGCAGGCTGGTTTTCCTATTCTGGTTTTCCATCCGGAGAATGGTGTTCTGGGAACAATTCTTCTTGTTTACCCTTCACTTCTCATTACATTGCTAATTATAGCATCTCCATCAGACACCAATGAGGAAAGGGAGGAAAAAATAGCCAAATTAGTTAATTCTCCTACTCTTCATTAGTTTCAGCAGTAAATTTAGAAGGGGAAGAAGACCGAACTATTGATTAAAAAGATATTGAGAGATTAACTGTATCATTTATTTAGGCTCCCTTCTCATTACATGGACCCACATGACGGCTGCCTTTTTTGTGGTGTCTTCTTTAATAAAACAGAAGTAACAGGATCCACTGAATAAAGCGAGTTGCAAAAAATGCCATATGTCAGGTTGGTAAATACGTGTGCAATCTGGTTTCGCTTTAGCTTTCGGAGTGCGTGTGTGTGCACATGAGTTTTACATTGGCCAAAAACTTGTTGTATACTTGATATAACACTATTCACTTTTACACAGTATTTTTAACGATTACTTTCGACATCATTAACATATTTTAAAAAATGATCCTGGGCAGCTAGATTAATTGGCAGGATTGAATCTCCGGGAAGGGGACTTCTTCACATGGGCAAACACACAGACACCCATATGGATAAACGTTCGGGCACCTTCAGCCACCAACAGCAGCAGAAAGTTCCATCTGCCTTGCTCTGCCACACAGACTCACAAAAACTATTTTGTCTCATCTAAGGATCCCCAGACGAGGTCAAGACAGCCAGAACGGTAGCCCCTTGCAGACTGAAAACAGTTTTCCGCTTTCTTCCTTCAGATAAATTCGGAAAGGAGCTGGGGAGGGGAGGAGTGGTGGTCTTTGCAGCCAATCTCCTGTCACCATTTACCTTTGGGAAGCCCCAACTTGCTGACTCTAAACCCCTGCCGTTTTCTAACACTTTGCTCCGGAAGGTCACGTCAGCCTTAGGTTACTTTCCCATTTTTTCTTTTCTGTGCATTCTTCTAAAATGTCTCCAGTTGTTTAACAAGGTTGAATGTGACTTGGAGGAAGGCAGCAAAAGCACTGATGCCCAAACGCGCCAACGGCCAAAGGCACAGTCCTTTGGCGGACGCCCAATTGAGGGCGGAGCTCACTCCTTCCCGTGGCTCCCCTTCTTGCCCTTCACCCCACTCCGCTATCGGCCCGGTCTGTCTTCCGTCCCACCACCAGGCACCTGCTCACAGGCACCAACAGCACCCCAACCCTACTGTCCACACAAAGCCACTTGAACACGCGTCCCGGTCACCTGAGCCCTTTCCTCAGGGAGGCTCAGTTCTTGGGGGCTCTCAATTCCCGGGCCTGAGGGAGAACTGACAACTCTACCACTCCAGTCATTTGGGGACACCGTGACCCTTCAGCTGGGGAGAAAAACTAAGCAGGGCAAAACAAGAGGCGACCGGGCAAAGGACAGGTAGTCACAATTCCACAGCCGTGGAGTCAGAGATCTGAGTCCCACCCATTCTTCATTACCCACAAAGCCATCCACACAGAAATCCAGTTCTATTTCTTGTCTGGAATGCACTCTGGTGCTAACATTGGGTGTGTCCAGCCACTTGCTATTCTGGGAATCCGTGTCAAACGAACGATGCTGTAGCGTGAAGGCAAGGCTTCCAGTTTCCCCTTCCTGCCGCTCCCAGCCTCCGCACAGCCCCGGGAAACTGCTCTTCCTAGCTCACTCCAAGCAGGGCACAGAGCAGAACAGGAGCATCGAGCAGAGAACAGCCCCTCCAGCATTCCCGGGAGCAGAAGCAGGGATGAGGAGGGCGGCAGTGCCAGAGAGAGAGACTCCGCTGAGACACAGCAGGTTATCCTGCGGGCAGGAGCCCACGGGAGCTGAAGGCTGGCCTCCAGGCCACAGATCAGGTGGCCTCAGCCAAGTCAGCTGACTTCACAGCAAGAGATTTGAGACCTCGCATCCTTCAGACATTCCACGCCTGCCTTCCACCTGCGAGCCAGCGACAAGACTTCCCTGAGATTTTATTCCCGAGTTCAGATTCGGTAGGCCACAGCCTCTTTGAGAAGGAGTCCCTCCCTTCTTTGTAGTGGCTTCCTGTGCACTATCTCCGAGATGGAGCTTTGCAATGGTGCCAGGATCCTCTCGTGTCATAGGAACACCGTGGGGGGTTGCTGTTTCGTCTGTCTGTACAACCTCTCCGGGCCTTCTGTGGCAGCAACAGGATTTTGTCCATGTGCGACTTCAAACCATAACGTTCTCCTGCTGCACACACAGAAAGGCTGTGTTTTCCAACCTTCATCTAGCTGGGGCCTGGTCCTAATTCCTCCGGTCAATGCAGTGTGGGTGGCCAGAGGTGATGTGGGCCACCTTCAGCCCTGGCCCCCAACCTTGCTGAACGATCTTCCGTGCTCCTTCTCTTTGATCTTGGGCTAGCTGCCAGTCAAAGCTCCAGAGGAAGCCGTCAAGGCCTTGGCGAATGGCGGCAGGCTACACAGAAGGGGCCTAGGTCCCAGAGCCGGCCTGAAGGTGGGCCCTCAGGAGATCCACCTGGCCAGGAATATCCACATTCCACTGTGTTCAAAACATTAACGTTGGTTGTGCTAAACCAGAGATTACAGGGTTGTTACAGCAATTCGCCTATCTGACTAATACACATCCCATATTCTGTTGGGGGCCCACGGGATTTCTTGCTTTCCCAGTTCTCTTGTTAATACCATACAGATCACCACCATATACGAACTGGCACAGAAACTACAGCCGAAATCAGACCATTATATATATTCACCTAAAAACCCTTAAAAATTAAATACGGGATAAATAAGATTTCTGGGATAGACAGAATAGGAACAGCCCTTCTTCTCCCCGGAAAAACATTCTCGGCTCAGGTGTTGGTTAGATGATTCATTCATTCTCGAAAATATTTATTGAGTGCCTACTCCATACATTGAAAGGAGTTAGGAAATACAGTGAAGTTGTGATCAAGAGAGACATAATCCCCTTCCCTTACAGAGGATCCACATTATAATGAGGGAAGCAGACAAACAATACGTCATATAAATGTCACGTAGTGATAAGTGCTCTTTAGGATAAAACAGGTCAGGGGCAGAGACTGATGGGGCAATTTTAGAGTTCTGTGCAAAGACTTGAGTATCTGGGACTCCCCAAGCTTGCGCTCTGTGGCCAGGGCCTTTTTTTGCAAGTTCAAGGTGTACAATGTGTTGGTTTGATACATTTACATACTGCAAAAAATGATTACCAGCAGAGCAAATACTATCTCGAAACACTGGTGGATCAGGGGTTGGCGGAGGCGAGCAGACGGGCTGATAACACTTTACCTGCCCAGGGGTTTCAAGAGCTTAGGGGCCTGAGCAAAAGCAGACATTTCAGGGCCACTGTGGGCAGATAGAGGCGGCCCGAGGAACCTCCCCCAGGATCGCTCCAAGGAGCCCATGGGCTTTAAAGGGAGTGTGATAGTCTTAGACTACAGGTTAGCCAATAACTACGGAGCGCACACAGGGCACCTCGCAATATACTTTCACGCTGTTGTTTTCCTAGTAAGCTGCCTACTCAGCCACGGAAACCTCACTGATTAGAGCCATTCTTGGGGCGACCATCTGCCCCAATTTGCCAAAACAGTTGTGGGTTACAACTGCCGTCCCTGCAAAATTATTCATAGGGTTCCTTTTCACTCTCCAAAGTGTCTCAGTCTGGACAATAAGTTACATGATCACCCAGGGGATCCTTATCTACAGTAGATTGGTAAACGCCAAGCCTGGCGGTGGAATAATTAGCCTTTGGTTCAAGAAATATTTATTGAGTGTTTTCTACGTGCCTGGTGTTCTGTTAGTGCAGGAAATGTAAAGATGAGGAAGACCTGGTCTGCCCTGGAATATCACGTTCTTATTGGGTGCAACCATCAAGAATGCCGGGCTAGAAATGGACACGGTGTATTACGCATGATGTGAACAGAGGCCTGGCTTCCCTGTGTGGTCCTCGTGCTGACCAAAGAACTGAAACTGATGCCATCCTCCTTCGCTGCATCGCTTCACCCAGAACTCAACGGGACCCTACACATCCAATCTGAATGCTTCTCACCCTTACGATCTCTCCAGCCACCCCTCCCAATCTCCCTGACTTCTAAATACTCAAGTGTCCCAGGGTGTACTGGGGACCTGTCCTCCTGCACACAGACCCAGTCCTAGAAGATCTGACATTGACCCCCGCCCGTCCTCCTCAATTCGAGTGGAGAATATCCACGCTGCAATCAGCATCTCCTCTTGGATGCCTGATATAAACCTCTGGACCCTAACCTATCCAAAGGACTTCTTATTTTCCCCTCCACTTCCAAACTATACACACCCTCTCCTCCTCAACTCCACTCAAATGCCTTCCCTTTTGAGTAAATGGCAACTCCATTCCTCCAGCTAGGCAGGCCAACATTTCTGAAATCATCTCTGACTTCTCCTTTTCTCTTATATCCCACATCCAATCCCTCAGCAAATTGTTTTGCCTTAACTTTCAGTATACATCTGGAAGTGTCTCATCACCTGTTCTACCACCTGCTGGTCCAACCTCGTCCCTGGTTTACCACAGAAGCCTCCAAAATGGCCTCCCTGCCCTTCCCCTACCCCCCATGTGGGTTATTCTCGGCATAGCACCCAATATTTCTCTTTTATAAGACAAGTCAGACCTGCTAGCCTCTCCCCAGCTCTTTTGAAATAATCAAATCTCTGCCACAGTCTCACAGCCCTATGTGATTTGGCTTGGATTACCTCTTACCCTCTTTTCTCCCAGCCTTCTCCCATGTCCTTGCCGTTCTTTGAACATGTTCCTGCTATTCCCTCCCTCACCTCTTTCAGATGTTTATTCAGATATACGCCAGTGAGGGTCTCCCTGATAACCCTATCTACAGTTTCACCCGCAACCCATGTACTTCCTGTTCCCTTTCCCTGCCTACAGTCTTATTTCTACTTAATAGTTACTAGATAAAATATAAAATGCCCAATTAAAATGAAATTTCAAGTAAATAATGAATAATTTCAGCATAAGTATGTCCCAAATAGTGCACGGGATATACTCCTACAAAAATAATTATCTGTTGCTCATCTGAAACTCAAACTTAACTGGGTATTTAACTCAAATACAGGGTATTTTTACTCACTAAACCTGGGAACGCTGGCATCTAACATGCTGTGTATTTTATGTATCTGTTCATTGTCTCTCTTTACCACCTCCTTCCCTCCAAACATGGCTCTTACAACAGAAGTTCAGTGAGGGCAAGTATTTTTCATCTACTTTGTTCACTGTTTCTCCCACTGAATGAATGAGTAAATGAATAAAGTGATTACATTCCCTCAGCCTGACTATCCCCAGCCTCTGAAGCATCTTTGAATTGCTGTGTTTGTTTGAAAGTTATTTCTTAAAGTGGTCCCATTCTAATTGCCCCTGTAGATTCTGGGTCATTTATTTCAACAGATGGAATCCTTGCTGTAGGATCCTGCCCTACCAGATAAGGGGGGAGGGGAGGGATGGCAGCCTTATCTCCCACTGGACCCCACTGACCAGGCGCCCTCACGGAGAGTGCTCTGTTTTAGAAACACAAACACAGACACCTAGACCGAAGACTGTAGGACTGGGGGATCCTCCAGGGTTTTCTAAGCTTCAGGTTTCCTGCATTTCACAGGACAGGGGTAAGGTGGGGAGGGGGGGTATTTTAATTGCAGTGCTTCTGCCTAGCTTAGTTTTGCATTTTCAATGTGGATGAGTCATTTGTTACTTCCCTTTCGCCTTTTTAAAGCACACACACCTTTTCCCCTGTGCATAATCCCTACTCCCACGCAGAGCACTGTAGACCCGCAAGGCTTCTTTTAGTTCCTAACTGGCCTCTGGATGAACCTGGGGTAGGGTGGGCGGGGATGGTTTCGGATTGTGCGGGTTTATGAACACGCTGCCTATATGATACCATATGATAGGCTCTATAGGCTCTGGCATCACAGACGTCAGATACTGGAAAGCAGAGAAGTCCTTTCTCTACCCAGCCTCGCTGTGAAATTTCTTTGGAACAACATAAGCTTCTGGAAATTCCCTACGGAAAAGACAAGTCTATTACAGACACAATTAAAGGAAAACTGCCTGGAGAAAATTTACCAAAATTCTCTAACAACTCCCAACTTTTGAATAGAGAGATTCACAGAGTCCCATCCATCATCCACATAGAGGTACAAGTGCTCCCCTACTGCTCCGATCTGTAAAATAAAACATCCCTAAACTCTGTAATTTAACTCTAAAATTCCGCAAAACTTGCATCCAGTGTGCATTTGCCTCATGGGATCCCTCAACCAATGAATGGAAATGCTGCCCTCCCAGAGATAGCCTCCCAGAAACCGCTCCTTTCTCCCACGGCTGGAGCAGTGAGTATTAAAAGCTGCTTTTAGCGATATATTTTGTCATTGCCTAGAGATACAACACATACTGAATGCTTACTGTCCCACAAACGCGGTATCCCCAAGCCACTTCTTTTGCTGCTTACGAAAACCCTGCCAGAGATCAAGTCAGACCCAAGAAATCACAGCTCTCCACTCAGTTTTGAAAACGCACCACCCCAAGAAAAGCGCGTTTTCTTTGCCATGCGCCCCGTCTCGGGATTATAAAAAGCAGCCCGCGGCGAGGAACACGCTTAACTGTAACTCCATCTTTGAATGAGTCTGTTACTTACCCTGCTTCTGCCTGCTGTCTGCTGAGTAAGGAAGGCACGGCTCACATTTCTGGCTTTCATTTTCTTCCATTGTCCCTGCCTACGGCACAAGCTCCTTGCTGCTCTTTAAACTTCAGAGCGCAGTTCTGAAAGCTCCCAGAAAGCGCCTGGAAGGGGGCCCTGGGCTGGGGCGGGGGGGGGGAGGGGGGGGAGGGGACCGTGCGAAACCCCACCCCAAACTATTCTCCACTCCGGTGCAAAGTCTCTCTCGCCGGAGAAAACTGCATTCCAGCGTCGGGCCGCCCCCGTCCCTCCGTGCCTGCGTCCCCGCGTCCGTCCGTCCGTCAGTCCGCCAGCCCGACTGGTCCCGGAGGAAGGGGGGAGGGGGGAGAGCCTGTGCCCCGGAGCCACCCGCCGCCCCTGGCCCGGGCGAGCCCTGCGCGGCGCGCGTGGGAGGCCCCAACAGGTGATGGGCTGTCCGACCAGGACCCGGACTGCCTGTTTTGCACCGCTGCGAACTGCCGAGATCCCGCAGCCGGGGAAGGAAAACATTTCACATAGGATCGCCGGCGAGAACTGGAAGTCCGTTGCCTGGGTTCTTGAATCTCAGACACAGAAGGAGCCTCCCAAGTAGGCTGCTATACATATTAATACACAGCCAACTGCAGAACATCCCAAATTTGAGTGAAATCTCTTTATAAAAAAGAAAGACAGAAAGCAAGCCTTTATGCTGAATGTTGTTAAGTAAACACTTTCTGGCAATAACTGCTTAGAACCTGATTAACACAAAGAAGTTGTTTACTTTTCGCACAGTCAGTATCAATCACTTGCACTGAACTTTAAAAAGAGTTTGTACCCCCATTTGCTTAGGCTTTGAAGCCTCTCCTTTCCCCCAACACACACACACACACACACACACACACACACACACACACACCCCTTGCTCACAAATCTTGAAAAGTAAACTAGTAAAGTCAACCTTCCGAATCTCTCAAGTTAATTACTTTAAAATATCTGAAAGGCAAAAAAAATTGCTTTTCTTTGGTTGGGCAGAGTTACATCCAACACATTCATTCTCCTTTTAAGCTATCTACAAATATTTATTTTGTTCTTTACCCAGTCCTTGAAAAATTGGCAAATTTCCCAGAAAGTGAAAATAGGAGGCACAATGTCCACACACACGAAAAAAAGATGGGAAAATAATCTAAGCAACATTAGCTCTGTCATTTCAGCCATCTAAAAGTAGCACAATCACCAGTAGGAAGAGTGTGATATTCTAATCTGTAGGGGCCTCATCAGTTGAGGGGAAAAGAGGACCATGGGTAACTTGCTGACCAGACCTTCATGCAGTTTAACAGGCCATTCAGGCAAGGTCTTAGATTAATTTAGATCAAGAATTTGTGCAGAACAATGGCTGGCCTATCCTCCAGATTCTGACCTCGAGTCACCTGTGTGTTTTGGCAGCGTGGGAGACATATTTTGGCCATCTAGGACAAAAAAGATGCGGAAGGCCCGTAGGGACAAAGGATATAGGGGAAATGGACATGCCAGAGATTGAGCCAAACTCTCACATAGGAAGGGACGAAGAAAAGAAAGACCCTGAAACTCCTAACAGGATTTTTCTTGAAATCCAACATGTGGGGAATCTTCAAGAAAGTTAAAGCCATGCCTGGCAGCATGAATACAGGCAACTGAGTCGACAGGGCTCAAGGTCTCCACGACTTTGCGGCAGAATTACCTGGTAATCTTGCTCTAAGGAGGAACTAATCTTACACAGTTTCTGTACTGGTTCCCTGTGGGCAAACGAGTCAACGCCAGAGGAGTCTTGTTTTAACCTTACTATTTCCTCAGATACAAAATGTTCAGGAAGGAGGGATTTGTGTTCAGGCCCCCGGCTCCAGATTGTCCTGATCCTTGGGTAGTTGTTGTGAATTTGTCTTCAAATTAACAATGCCAGGGACGGTTGGAGTGGTGGGGAGGGACACACCAGAGGATGTCCCTGGGCTCTCACCTGACTTGCTTCGGTGCCCGAAGAGCCTGTTCCTACCAGCTCCTACCTGTCACTTGACACAGTACAGTGGCAAGACCCCCAGGGTGAAGGAGACAACAGCATACCTACCATAGCAGCCCACAACAACCAACAGCCCACCGCCTGCTGGGAAGCCTTTCTGGCTAGCTCAGTTCAGGCGGGGGTGGGGGAAAAAATCCATTTTTACATGCAGATTTTGCTTTCCTGGGGCTGTTTGGAAAGTGGGAGAGCAGCCCTTCAAGGCCCTGTTGATCCCCAACTGGGCAAAATAAGGGCAGGTCTCCCACCAGTTCTAAACTCTGGTTAGTTTCCAGGCAGCCCAAGGAACCCCCTCTGCCCACCACGTGTTCAGGCTGCTGGGACCCTCCCCTCCCCCACAGGCAACGCAGACTGCGGCCTGTGTAGATATTCCTCCAAGCAAAACTCTTTGTGGAATGCGCAAAACAAAAAGGCATTACGAGCGAAGATAATTAACATGAATCATTAAGGACCAGGAAATCTAGACATATATTTACAGTAAATCACATTCTCTTGAATAGTTCAACTTTCTGACCATTCTATGGGGGAAAGCTTCTACCAGACTAGTTACTGGCCTTTTGTTCCTTCTCCTTGAGAACGAGAACTGAAAACAATTTGAGAAAGCTCTGTATTAATGCCTTTGCACTGACTATTCTGTACAACGCTCTTCAAAGCACACAGACCTTACTAGGACTATTTTGCTAATTGTCAGCTTCTCTGAGAGGGGTCTCTAGAAAATACTAACCGTTTTCTGCAATCTCCATAAGCTCAGTAACTCAGATCTTCATGAAAAATACTATTATTGTCATTGCTATAGCTGCGGAAATGTTCTTTCTGGAAGAAACCCTATTTGAACTAGAAACATGCCGTGCTTTTAGGTTTAATTTAATTTCTAGGTTTAAAAATTGCTATTACAAACCAATCTGCCTACTGCCGTACTTTGAAATGTGCTGTGAAAGGCAGAAGGAAAGCGGGAAGAACTTGAAATGTGATTTTCCTGCACTCATATAGAGAGCTACAATAATGATACCAGGGGGCTGAATTTTCAACTCCATTTCTGTTAACCAGGGAAGGTGCAAGACTATTTCTTGCTTAATGGCTCCATATGTTGGCAATTCATGACTCAAAATGAGCTAACACACAAAAAAATGTCATTTAAAAGGAAAGACAAGTGATGAGATAAAAGGGCAAATGGTGATTTTGCAGGCAGAACAATCCTGTTGCAGAACTGGGCCACTACTGGATTTGAAAACACAACTTAAACAGACATCCGCCATGACAGGCATTAGTGACAACAGTCAGAAACTATTGCGTGTGACTGCTTAGCAGGCCTATTTAATTACAGAGCTGTGGAAAGCATGTCAACTCTTCCTTTATGTGAGTTTTTCAAGAGAGAAATCATTGCTAGAATCCAGCCTTCGTGGAATTGCACTGATAGGTCCCAAATTCTTTTTTTAGCTTAAATGCTATTCGGCACATGGAAACCAATGTGACAATAAATTTCATAATAAAAAAATAAATAAATAAAAAATAAAAGATAAAAAAAAATGCTATTCGGCACAGGATTGCCTACGATGATTTGACACGAGGACACGAAAGAAGTAATGCTAGCGGAAGCCATAAAATGTAATTGTCAAAGGCATTGGTCACTGAAAGGAAAACTAAACAAAATAAAGTGAAAAACAAGTAAGCCAAAAATGTTTCAACCGGAGCCCCCTTTGACGTGTTACACATTGCCTTTCTGAAGGGAACACCCCTGAGTGTCAGCCTGGAGTTCAGAAATGAAAGACTTGTGACAATTGGGAGAACATTTGCTTAAATGGACGATCTGGTGAATGAAATGCGGGCTCTCCCACCTTACTCTTGCCAGCAGTGTGTCAGCTGGTTAGGGTGACCTTACACTTAAATATAAACCAGAGCACTTGTGGCCGCGAAAGGGGACACTATAAATAATTGCAACAGGACAAGACGCGGAAACCACGACTGTCCCTGGCAAACCAGGACAGATGGTCCCCTCTGTGTAGCCCAAGATATGCCCCATGTGTTCTTCGGGTTTCCAAATGCAAAACGAGCCCAAAGAAGGCTGTTTCAGTTTCCCCACATCGACCTCACCAGAGAAATTTAAGCATTAATTAAAGGTGTGAACCGTCATCTGAGCTGTTTTACAAGCCCCACCAACCACTTCACATTGAAGAACAAAAATCTCACAATAGCGTAATCTGTATGATTCATCCATCAAAACAGAATTTCCCTTTCTATGTTTAGGGCGAAGAGCTCACAGATGTGACCATGGAACCATTTCTATCTCTAGCATTCTCTCCAGAGGGTAACCAATCTTCCTGATCTTACTTGAGTCCTTAAAATCCCAGCTGCTCCAAGGAGACCTGGCCAGCCAAGGAGAAGTGAGTTGACCAAAAGCCTCCCCCACCGCTCACGTCTCTCTGTATACCGATGTCTTGGAACTTTTCTCCCTACCCCGTAAAATTCTTCATGCAATTATGAACACAAACTACACTTAGATCCAATGTGTTAATGCTTTAAGCATATTTGCTTTCTTTTCAAGAGAATCCATTGATGTCCATTTTTATCGGGGTTTCTTTTATCTCTTTTAAGTCGGAAGACGCTGGAAAGCAAAGACCACGTCTGCCAAGCAGCGTCGCTGGGGCGGCCCATGTGTGCAGCACATCATGGGGAAACCAGCGCTCAGCTCTGCTTCACGTGGTCACAGCAGACCAAGTCTGGCTTCCAGGTGGCGACTTTCAAGTGAAAATTCCAACTGATGTACGCTCCCCCGCCCCTTTAATCCCAGAGCGGGCTAAACTGTGTCATATTCTATAGAGTTCCTAGAGGTGGAACCCATGAAAATGTAAGAACGCCCACAGATACAAGCACCCTGCTTGCTCCTTGCTTTAACTCAGTGGTGTTATTATGAACCCTTTCATCAGAGAGTATTTGGTGAGACCTCATTGGGAAGGCATTTCCCTGGCCTACTTCTGCCCCTGGCCTTCTCCACGTGCCCTGCAAAGCTTCAGTGAGTTGTTGGG